GGTTTGTTCAACGTTCACTTCTAAGGCTGAACATCTGTGGTCATTTAGACGTTAAAAAATAATACATTTATCGTATTGGTAGCTAGAATTTCGAAAAAGAAGTGGCTGCTATCATTATTGGTATTTAAAACGAAAAAATCCTTTGAGAATCACTACAAGTCGTGAAATTGTCGAATTCCGCTCTTAAATTACATTTAACTTAGATTTTGAGATTTTTGGAACGTTCGAGTCTGTTGTAGTTTTGAGGTTTTTAGACATATCATCAAAATTGGCTGCTGGAAAAAAGTGGCTGCTATCTTGATTGGCTGCTAAAAGTGGCTGCCAGCTTGAGTCTAGTTAACTTCGGCTATGGATGATCGTAACTCAGACTTGTTATTATATAAAGATGATCGTAACTCACAATTTACGATGTGTTTCGTTCTTTAAATGAGCATTCTATTTAGAAGTCACGATATATTGGTATAACTGAAAACAGTATGATTTTGAAACTTAACAAAATGAGCACTGCAATTTGTCAAAACGAAATGACATAAGGGGGAATTGACAGGCTTATTTGCAAATGTCATCAATATTTTTTTCTTATGAGTAATTTAGTTAAAATTCAAAATGGAATACGTTTGTATGAAGGAAATATAAATTTTATCCTCATTATACAGTTTAAGATTGCAGGCCAAAACTTTCACTGAATATTTTAGAAATAAGTAATCATGTTAGGCATGAAGCTACATTATTTTGATGTGTTCACCTCGGTTTTAGCTTGTTGCCTGGTTTTGTATTTTCTTAATCAAACTATGACTATAAACACATTGGTAGACTACAGAGGCGGATTTAGAGGGAGGGCCAGGGTCCCCGCCCTTTTTGTGGGAAAACTTGGATGATTATATAGGGAATCACTAAAGCATGACTGGAGCGGGGCCCCTCTTAGGCAGTCAGTGCCCCCTCCTTTATGAACATTTCTGGATCCGCCACTGTAGCCTATATTTATCACGGGTAGGCTATTCATGTAATGAAGGAAAAGCTGAAATAAATGGTATATACGTTCATATTAGTTTCCAGGTTTTTCAAACCTTTTAATCCTTACACTTACTGTTATATGACACGTGTTATTGTAGTAAGTCGAAAGAAGTTGTTTTAGCCAAAAATATCAATGAATTATTTTATCGAAGGTTTCAATTTCATTTTCATTCAACAGATATGGTTACACTTCTTAATCCTATATCTGTCCGAAATTCCCCTAAAAATATCAGGTTCTCGAAAGGTAATATTATTCTTACGAAGTGTTCCATTGAAAAAAAAATCTTAAATTTTACCAAACTGGTCATTAATATGAAATCTCCAATACCTTATTTATATAAGATATATGAAATCATTATAAAGATATTTACCCCAATGCAATTTCATATAGAACTAGATAAAAAAAAAGTACGAAATCTCGCAAAATCATAACCATTATTGTGCACTTACACGTATACCAATCAATAGGATGTTGCCCTCCCCTACAGTAATCTTCTCTCATTATTATCACAATATAAGCTGATTATGTACACTTTTTCGCATACCATACAGCTCTGTTTATTAGAAAATGCTTCGTTGGAACAGACAGTTACGATCATCTTAAGTAAAAATTACGATCATCGTTGATAAAAATAAATAAAAGTTACGATCATCATCGTGTTTTTTTGTATCTCGATTTTCGTTCTTCTTGTTGCTTATCCATCATGAAGGAAAAAACCTTTGTTGGCAATACTTATAAATCTATTTCTTGACATAATGCAAATCTGAAAATAAGCTGTTAAAATGGAGAAATCGGCCTTATAAAATTTCCCTAAATTTGTGTCCGCCATATTGGGATGATCGTAATTGCAGTTACGATCATCACGTTGACACCAGTGATTCGTATGATGTCATGTTTTGAAATGACGTTACTGCGCCAAAAACGTTAATGGAATTTCGCGAAATTGTAATTTATTTTGATTTTGTACATTTTTCCGACCTCTAATGCATTATTTTTTTGTTATGCCTCAGAATAAGAATAAAGGTTCTGTAGGGTTTTTTTCAATTGTAATTTTTAACACAGCGAAATCGACATAGCGTTTGCACATAGGTTACGACACATGTGGATTTACGTGAGAGGTATATTTTAACAGCCATTATTATGTACATCTCTGAGTCTGCGCTAAGTATAGATATATCGAGAATTTTATCACGGTGTTGTTTACAAAGCGAAAGAAGCACGTCATATTCGAATTACACATTTATTTATATATCGTTATCTTTTACACTATCAAATTACATATTATTCTCATTTTCTACAGATAAAAATGTTACGAAACAAGAGAAAACATGGCACCCTTTTATACGGTTAATATAGTTAATGATCGACTTACAAAGTGACTTGTATTTTTCATAAAACGTAACAATTCATTTATTTTTTGATTCGTGTATTTAAAGAAACATTTTTGTAATTGAACTGGACAGTGATTACACTAACGTTTTTATCTAGAATAATTATTAGTATTGCAACTTATGATTGAACCGTTTGTCGTGATTATACCTAATCGCAATAGAGAAGAATATCCCGCTATAATTTGATCGGTAAAATGGAATACAATTTCCAGCAAATCTTTGCAGAAAATTATATTTTTGTGACTGTATGTAAGTCAGAAAACGCATATTTTAAGGTTTTTTCTTGGTGTACGACAAGAAACACCTACAAGTATGCATTATCTATAACAGGTCACAATAAGTAAAATTCGGCGTCAAAAAAGTTAATTAGTCTTCAAAGCTTTTAATCAATGATCACCGAATGATTCGATTATACTTATAGGTAAGACAATACATGATCACGATTTAGGACGTTTTGAAGCCCGATGCATAAAAGACAATGAGAGTCGGTTGAGAACAAAACGTTTCCACAAAAGAGATGATTTTAGCGTCCCAATTGTGAACTTTCCATTTCTATTTAGCAATATTCCAGCAGCGCCTGCATATGGAGAATGTATCTCTCAGTTGACACGATATGCCTCGGCTTGTATTTCCTATCATGATTTCCATGATAGAGCGTTGCTGCTCAAAAAGAATCTATCAAACCAAGAGTTCCAAGTGGTGAAGTTGAAATGATCCCTTCGTAAATTTTATGGATGCCATCACGAGTTGGTTGACCGTTATGGAATATCTGTTTCACAGATGACAACGGATATGTTCCAATTGTCGTAACCAAAATTAATCCCGTTCCCTTTTCCCAAATGTGACCTACCTAATTAGACTTATCACCGAGTGTGTACTAGAGCAACATGACGGGTACCACATGTAGAGCGGAGCAGGATCTGCTTACCTTCCGGAGCACCTGAGATCACCTTCGGTTTTTTGTGGGGTTCGTGTTGCTAAGTGTTTATTTTTCTATGTTGTGTTTTGTGTACTGTTGTTTGCCTGTTGGTCTTTTTCTCTTTTTTTTTTGCCATGGCGTTGTCAGTTTATTTTCGACAAATGAGTTTGAATGTCCCGTTGGTGTCTTTCGCCCCATTTAATATGAGTTCATTTTAAATGTTTAGATGTTTTATATAATGGATGTTAATCCTTTTTAATGATCATTTAAACAGATGGAATGAAATAACACCAAAAGAGTTTTGTGAGTTAAAAAAGGATAAATTGTTAAAAAAAATAGAGATTTATAAACAACAGTACTCCTGATTCTTTTTTCATTTGCTCCTTTCCTATGGAAATTACCTCAGGGGCTTGTACACTTCGTTCGTGCAGTTATTAAGAATCCACTTTCATAATTAATCTACAATGGAATGTCATTTATGCATAGCATGTATAGTGCATGGAAAGACATGTCCATGAAAAATAGAACGGAAAATACCGATTTTCCATTGGACGAGAAGGGGTTAGTATGTTCTAAAAAATAATCATGTATTCAACACTCTAATATCAATCAGTACACATCCAATGGATTTTGTGTGAAGACGTCATAAACAATGAGAGAAAAACAGGGTCTTATACAATGCCAAAATATCAGTATCGACAGAATGTAGTAAATGTGCATAGCTGTATAGAATGTCTATATTTAGTTCGAAATTAATTTTCATTTTGGTCAAAAAACGGATAAAACAAAAGTACTTTTTCTGGGAAAAGATCGTAGAAATAACGACTTCTGTTTAAATATCAACGGATCCATGACACGATAAACTACTACAGATAAAATAGATACAGACGTTTATGAGGGTCTTGATGGGGTTTACATAGTATACAGAATAATTGGCAAAAAGTGCTGAATAAAAGGAATAGACAAAATAGACAAAAATGATAAATAAAAGAGAATAATGGGGATCCAAAATATAAAGAATAGAGAACAATGGGCAAAATAAATAAAGAATAGAAAATCATGGTATAAAAGATTAAAAAAATAAAGAAATAAAGGACCCCATCAAAATCCTCGTTTTATGCATGCGTATTGGTTTTTTAATAATAATTCATTTGAATGTCATTTACTTTTAAAAACATCACGATGTTTATGTTCAAACCATAAAGGCATGTATGCATGCAAATGACTTAATTAGATTGATAATATAACGCCATTCCTAATCTTTAATTGAGCAATACACTCTTGTTAATTTAAATGAAAGGTTGTCTTTGTTTACATATATCGCATAAATGTTTGTGGGTGTCGAATGAGGAGGAGGATTTCCCATGTGACTAATAATTAGTTTGATATATAAGCAATAAATAACAGATAGTTTAAATCTTAATAGATAAACAAGATGATGCCACTTTAATCGTAATCCGAAACAGTGGATGTCTTTGCGATAGAAATTAAAACTGTCTGTAGTTTGTTGAAGCTGAAGTTAAACTCCGCCTTTTTTCTAAGGATCGCCTTTCCATGAAACTTGATTAAAGTAGGCGATTTATTATTTCAGACAGATAATCTGTAGGGGTTTGTATTGCAGTATAAAAACCTGATAACGTAACATACTTTCAAATGATTTCGTATGCTGTTTTAGGATAGCACTCCACGTTAACAGATGGCGTCCAAAAGTTATGAAGACGAGTTAACGGGTAATGAATTGGCAAATTCGTATACCTTTATACAGATTATACAAGTTGGAAAGGAAAATCTAGGCACTGATGATCAAATCGAGAAGACCGAATCATATATTCATGCATACATTCAGAATGCATTGAATGACCATCCATTAAACAGCTTGCGTCATCCGAACGTACAATTACCGTTCTACGATGCACGACTCGACATTGAAAAAGACGACGTTGTTTCTACGCGCATGTACATGATAAATTTCCAAATTGTGTCTCTTCGATATTGGAACAAAAATGTAAGAAAAAAACTAATGGAAAAATATTTTCAAAAACTACAAACTAATGTCACGACGGCAAGACTTGTGTCAGAAAAAATGGTGGAATCCCTGGCATCCTTTAAACGTGACCCAACTAGCAATGACGCACTTGCTTACAGGGATAAGCCAGAGTTCTCCAATATTCCAGGAGATAACTTTTTGAAAAAAATCCTAAATTATTGGCTGATAGTTCCAAGGACACAATGGGATATTTCTGACGTACTTCACCAGATGTATACGTTTGACATATTCCATCAAGGATTTTTCTCAAAATATGTACATTTCTTTACCATACCAACAAATGTGCTGTTGCTGATGGTGTTTCTTGCTCAGTTCAACATCCCGGCCCTGGGAGAATTACGGTACGGAAATATTTTTGCAGTTAACTTAGCTCTTGTCTTATTTAGCATATTTGGTTTGGCCTACATCATCATAGGTGTCCGTCAAAATAGTTGGGAATGGGGTGTTGCAACGTTCGGTGTTCTTGCTGTTCTTAATGTGGCGGGAAATGTTTGGTACTATAGCTATCGGACCATTGGCAATCGGTGGTATAACCCGACAAACATCTACAGCAATCCGTTGGTATGGAGTTACATTGTGTCTTTCATGCAAACTGCATCCCATTTGGTGGTCCCACAGTTGCCCCCAAATGTTACAGGTAAGAACATTTCATCTTAAATTATACAATTGTTTTGCTATTTTTAAAGAAATTAGAAGATATAATACGGCCACTTTTTATTACACCTTGAACATTGTTGAATTCGAAAATCGAAAACCCTTTAAGTTATAAATCAATCAAGTTCAGCTTTCAAAAATGCAATAGACGTAATACGATATACTAGTAATAGTATAAGGATTCGACACGAAACGAAAAATTTCCCGGCAGAGCCTCGCATTTTTCCCGGTGAATTCTATGCCTCATCCTAAATCATTATTATGTCTAGTCAATACACTAAAATTGTCTTTTTGTAGTATCGTTTTTATTTATATTATGAATACAAATGTATCTTTGATAACTATTGATATTTTCAGCTGTTCTAAGTCTGTTTATCTTAAACGCATTTGAAACATTTATAATATTGAAATTGATTTTAGAAAATTATACGAATGACAATCCCGTCCTCTTTTTCTCAATACATCGAATGAGACTTATCACCGAATGTATACTTACCAGGAGCAACATGACGGGTGTCACTATCTATAAGGATCTGCTTACCCTTCCTGAGCACCTGAAATTGTTGGGTTCGCATTGCTCAGTCTTCTGGACTTTTGATTGTTTTTTTCGTCGTCTTTCGTTTTTAGAAATGGGTTATCAGATTCTCTTCGACTTATGAGTTTTTAATATCCTCTCGATATCATACGTCTTTTTATTTAGTACTCGGAAAGTTTGCGTTCTGTATCTACTGCAATATTAGTATGACTGGTTTTACTAATAAGGATATGAAATTCAATTCTTTTGTTTACTTAGCCTTAAAAGGGGAAATAACTCAGATAGTTTATTTTTTAAAGGAATATACATTATTTTTTTTTTATTTTGTACTACTACAAGAAAGAAAGACCTCGAACTAATTTATAAGAGGAGATAACTCATATAACTATGCAATTCTTATTATATTTACGAAGAAACCACGATGTAACCTACATTTGTTCAATCTATGAAAAAAATTCTGTCATTTTTTGTTTATACCCCATACTAATTTAAAAAAAATTAAATTAGAATGTATATATTTTATGTTGGAAAGACATTCTTTAGGCTTAATGATATTCATGATTACTCCAATTCAGAATATATAATAATTATATTCTACAATTTTAATATATAATTTCTGAAATGTGATTTAAGAAATATATATATTTTGTGTTGACTTTATAAGCTCTTTAAGTTATATTTTTTTTTAATTTTATTCTCGACTTTTATCTATATAATGTATTATACGTAATATTGACGTCTCAAACAAAAATTCTGACTGATAGACGAAAATTACATTTTGTTCATCTTTGAATTTGCTTAAAATGTACATGTCAGGAACCTGTTTCAGTGGTTGTCGTTTGTTGATGTGGTTCTCAAGTGTTTCTCGTTTTTCGTTTTTTATATAGATTAGACCGTTGGTTTTCCTGTTTGAATTGCTTTTCACAAGTCATTTTGAGGACCTTTGTAGCTTGCTGTTTGGTGTAATCCAAGGCACCGTGTTGAAGACTGTACTTTGACCTATAATTGTTTACTTTTTACACATTGTGACTTGGATAGAGAGTTGTCTCATTGGCACTCATACCACATCTTCTTATTTCTATGTAAGGTGCTCTTGTCGCGATATAGCCTTTTTGCGAGGGCGCAAATTTAATCAGTCATCAATCAAACATGAAATCATCATAAAGTCGCTACGTATAGTGCAACTGAATAGCAAAATGCAACATTTTTACATAGTTAAGGATGTTCGCTCCTCTTGCTTTTGAATCTTTGCCAGATATTCGGAATCCTCTGGTTTTATCCATGTAATGCCATTAAAAATTTTGCCCGCTAACCCCTACTTTTCTTTTCATTATTTTATTACATATAGTCCAAAAAGCCAAATTATGAAAATCTTATAAAATCCTTGTATGAAAACTCTAGAGAAAATCATTTCCCGCCAATTTTTCAAAGGCTTATATCTCGAAACCTATTCTTTCTGTAACTATGCCGTTTTTCATAGACAATATTCCATGAGGGTCTGGATGAGGTTTACTGAATAGAGAAAAATTGGTAAAAAAAATAAAGAATAGAGAAAAAAGGCAAAAATATTAATAATTGTGAATAAAGCTGTACTAAACTATAGAAATAGAGAGAAATAGGGAGGGATGACCCAAAAAAGAAAAAAGGAAATAGAGATATAATTTAAATGACCTGAAGTAAAATAAAGAATATGAAAAAAGTCTATATAATAATTCTATCTTTAAATCTCACAAAATCAAGAAAAGTTGTGACAAATTCAGCAGACACTATCAAAGACCTGGTATCTACATCAAAGTGCCTAAAGACCAAATACAATGAGATATAACGTAAGACAACCACTGACGATATTCCTGGCTTGTGGCTGGCATATTAAATATCTATTTTTTTCAGACACAAAGTCGTACCCTTTTTATTTCAATTAGGTTCGCTCTGGTTTAGTATCAGATGTGTATGTCTGTGTTTATATCTTCTAGATTAAATTCAAGATGATTTTTATTTGCAAGTGTTATTTATAGATATAGATATAGATTTTGGTTAACATGTATTCGTATCTTATGAATGCAAACTCAAATATTATTTTTATTATTCTCAAATACCAGAAAGGATCAGTTAAAGAGAAGGTTTGTTTACCACAAAGTTCTTAATATCGTTTATCACAAAAGACATTTTTACCGATACAATGCAAAAAGAAACTCCATATTAAATCAACTCTTTGATCAGCATTTACATATATTTGTACATTGTAAACTTTAGTTTAATATCAGAATGTATTCGAAATTATTTTGAATATTCTAAAGATTTGCGATATATTTGAACAATATCCATTATTTCAACTTTTATGGAAGTGAAAATACAAAATGTACGTTTTCATTTTCAATTTCAGCTGCAAACATAGTTAATATATTATTTATTGTTTATTTTGTTTTCTATCTTATTTGTAAACTTGACCTTAATAAAGTGGGAGAAATTAGGGACAATAAAACCATAAGTTAAAGAAAAACAAGATAGACAACACTGTGTCTAAAAGAAAAAAAGACGAACAGACAGACAGTCAGACAGTCTGCAAACTCCGAAAACTAAAGATTGCGTACCCCGACCGAAAAAAAAGGAGCCGAGCTTTATAATTTGTATTGATATCCGACGTTTCGGTTCTTATACATCCTTGGCTTTCAAATATTCGGCTTTGGGCGTTCCTGATTAACGTAAATCCAGAAAAGCGCTTCGGACACATGAAATTTAAAAGATTTCCTTTCATTTTATAATAAGTATCCATTTTCCTTTCAGGCACTCATTACTGGGAATCATCTAGTTTGTTCTTCACAATGAAGAGAAAGACAAAAGAATCAACAATCAAACACATATCATTCGTATGCCTCTCTGTAATTCTGTTTCCGGTACTGTTTGTTTTTGATGAATGGGTTTCATCACCACGTTTGTTAGGCACTGAGGTAAGATCTTAACATATTCAATTACTGGAAAACACTATTAAATACATAAATGCACGTGATGTTGGCTAAATTATTTATTTTTGTCTTTCTCTTCATTGTGAAGAACAAACTAGACTAATCAACACCTTCTATTAACAAAAATAAAGATATTAATCAATAATGTCCAAAGAAGAAATATAAATGTTGGAGGATAAACATACTTGCATGACATCTAACGCCCGTTAATGCCAACAAATTAAGCTAAGACTAGTATACAATAAAAAAGAATAAAAGAGTCAATGGCGGCTCTAAACCTTACCGGGTTTTTACAGGATTTTTCATCTTTTCCACACTACATCCGGGTCACCTTCAAACAATATACGTTGACAATACACATGATAGACCATGATACACTACTTATCCTGCAATCAACTAACTATAATCGTACAAATAACACATCTTTGATCTATTAATATAATATGTAAATATCGTCTAATGTTCAGGACGAGAACAAACTACCATCAAATCCAATTGGTTAGTTATGCAAATTGGTCGATCGGGATAAAGAATGGGAATATGACTGCCACTGGAAAATATCAGGGACGTTGGATAAGTAAATTTTGATTTGCAACATGCTACATGTCATCAACTAACCGTTCACATAGTTGTTGCAAGTATTCTTTAACGTGCAGAGAGCTTGGCACGCTCCTTACTCGAAACATCCCCCCCATTCCGCTTACCAGATGTGGCTGAATATTTAAACATCCTGCAAAGCCAAACAAACGCCCTTTTTAGCATCGGTTTACTGCCGGATGGGAGAAGTTTAGAATGGTCATATTTCAATACTCCAAAAAATCAGACAACTATTGGAATTAAAAAAATAAACGTTTTTGCGTCAATGTTAAATTTCAGAATAAAAACAATGAACTGAATTTATCTGAAATATCAAATAATAAGACTAGTACTTGCTACCTGCCTTGCTTTCCTTCCTGCTTCTAAAGCTCGTTCAACTAAATCATATATCTATATTTACGTTACGATTTTCTGAAAATTTAGAAAGGTTTTCCTTTTTGATTGAAATCAATTAGGAAAATGATGGTTTGATGAATAGCTATAGACGATCCTTGCATCTGTAAAAAAGACCGGAAGACCAGTCTACAATATATGAAACCATTCATATAAGCAATAAGGTAAAAAAAGAAACAAAAAACTATCACAGCGACAACTACTAACAAGGACAAGACCTTTCACTGAAGACAACAAGAGAACCAGGAAGAAAATCACAAACAAGAATAAAAACAAATCCAGAATGGACTAAACCTGAAACAGTACAGTTTGACGCAAATTAACAACAAAATCAATATTGAACACATAGATAATTGAGGATATTCAAATGACTCTAAAGTTTAAATGTCCCCTTAAAAGTGCAATTGTTTTTAATTTAAAAAAAACATTTCCTGGAGAAAAAAATGATTGTTCTTTTTCTCAGAACATCAAACTCTGTAACCAGACACAATTTATACAAACAAAAACAAAAACACAACTTTGGTATACAGATGATTTTAGAAGTATTTGTATATTTTAGGTTCTATACATTATGACGGGAATCGGATACAGACCAAAGTATTTTCAAAGGTATTTCAGAGTAGTTGAAAAGGCTGTTCTTCATGGTAACCCGATTATCGACCGATTTCCTACAAGCTACAAAGATATCCGATTCGCTACAGCTGGACCGATACAATTTAAGGAAGAGAACGGATTCATTTCAGAAAATACATCGCTAAAATCGTCAGCAGACGACTGATAGTTATGTACCGGACACATGTGCTATAAAGGAAAAAATCAAATATCCGATTTAAACAGTGACAACTACCAATTATATTTTCTTTTTGCTTCGTTTTATTATTTTATTATTGATATTTACTGTAAAATAACTTTTTGTTGTGATACATATGTTCCAGAAATTAAAGATGTTTTATTTATGTTAATTACAACTTGATTTATGTTTTCGAACCGTTGGTGGTTAAATTTTACTATTGAATAAAAAATTTAAAAAAACATGCACAAAAAGAAAAAAATATCAAAGTCCACTATTAACATCGCCAATGCCTTAACATTGATTGATTGATTGATTGGTGTTAAACGCCACTTTCAACACTTTTGTGCTATTTCGTGGCGGTCAGTTTTTATTGGAGGAGGAAGCCAGAGTGCCCAGAGAGAACCACCGACCTTCGGTAGGAAAACTAACAATCCTAGTCAATTAAGATTGGAGTCGAGTGCACCTGCCCCGTGCGGGATTCAAACTCACAACCTCAGTGTTGACAAGCTATTGATACAGTAGTTTGACTACTTAAACCACTCATCCACCGAGGCCCCACAATGCTGTTACAAATTAGTATAATACTAGTATTTGAAAGAATTGTACTTATAAAATGACAAATCATTTATTTTCTTGGAATTGATGTGGGTATAATATAAACGTCTGCTGCCGATTTCTGCGCGCATGACACTGGCATGACCTTTCTCAAGGTCTAGAGTTTCGGGAGCTATTAATCCAAAACAGTCACAAGACAGGAGCCTGTAGTTGTTCTGTGGTTTCTTCATGTCGTGGTCTTTTATAGCTTGCTATGCGGTATGGGTTTTGCTCATTGTTAAATTGTAAGGCAGTACGGTGACCTATAGTTGCTAACTTCCCCGTCATTTTGTCTCTGGTGAAAAGTTGTTTCAGTGGCAATAATACCCTTTCACTTATTTCATAGTAGCATGGCCTAAATAGAACTTAAATAGGAATAAAAGGAGATGTGGTTATATGGGTCAATGAGACAGGAAACCAACTACATAAATTGCCGCTAAATATTAACTAGTGGTAAGCATGCAGTCTTTAACAATAGACAGATGTCTATATAATATGATATGTCAAGCTCTAAATCGTCCCGAGTATATTTGAGTTTTGTGACTAAATTTAATATCTGACATGTACATCCGGTTGCCAAAATAACAACAAATATTAAGATCATATGACATACATTTTGGTCGCCAACTATTGACAAAGGAGGGACGAAAGATACCAGAGGGACAGTCAAACTCATAGATCGAAAACAAACTGACAACGCCATGGCCAAATATTAAAAGACAAACAGATAAATAATAGTACAGATGACACAACATAGAAAACTAAAGACTAAGCAACACGAACGCCACCAAAAACTGGCGGTGATCGCAGGTGCTCCGGAAGGGTAAGCAGATCCTGCTCCACATGCACCCGTCGTGCTGCTTATGTTATTACAAATCCGGTAAATAGTCTTAATTCGGTAGGTCACATTCGTGAAAAAGGAAGGGTATTGTAGTTACGACATAAGGAACATATCCGATATCATCTGTGAAACGGTTATTCCATAACGGTCAACCAACTCGTGATAGCGTCCGTAAAATTTACGAAGGGATGATTTCAACTTCACCATTTGGAACTCTTGGTTTAATAGCTTCCTTGTGAGCAGCAATCCTCTATCGAGGAAATCATGATAGGAAATACAAGCCCGGGAATATCGTATCAATTGGGAGATATATACGCCGTATGCAGGCGCTGTTAGAATGTTGCTACATAGAAATGGAAAGTTCACAATTGGGAAGCTGAAATCATCTCTTTTGTCGTAAAGTTTTTGTTTTCAACCGACAAGGTTCCAGACCTGGGACAGGCAGATATGACATTGAGTTATTCCTCTTTCCTTTAATAAAGTTTAAATAATCCAAGGTTTTTATTTTGTAAATAAACAGTTTGTGCTAAAGTCATGACAGTAATTTTAGGTCATATTTTGGAAATATTTGACTTTCATTCAAATGTGGCGGGGTATATATATCAAATATATCTAATTTTTAATGTAGTTTGCTAAATTTTTCAGTATCTGTCCACATAAAACGTACAGCAGCAATGCAAACCCCGTTTCTGCTTTAGTATATTGAAAATGTTGTGTACATCCAACCATTGTGTTTTCCACAAATACATGATACATGTAACGCATTCAACACATGGACAAGACAATCAAACAAATAGTGGGTACTAGTAATTGAAATGAAAGACAACATGCACACTCGTGAATTAAATAGTGGGGAAGATAATAAAATAGTATCAGTATCTTCTTACATACAGTAAATCTGCAATGTCAAATTTTGACGACCTTTGGGAAAAATATTGTTTCAATTTGTTACAGAAATTCAGTATAAATAAACAAGTTTTCATCTGATTATGATTCACTGAGTTCAAGACATCAACCAAAGGATCTTTTCGCTACAAGCTTCTGTGTGTAGTGTCTGTCCGTAAATTAGACGAAGAAAGGTTCAATCAGGAACAATAAAAAAAAAAGTATAAGAAAAACCGACAATACCATGGCAAAAAAAAGGAAAAACGACGAAAAGGTAAAAAAAAATGAAAAATAAAAAATGTGGCATGATTGCCAATGAGACAAGTTGAACTATCTATCAGAGCCCACATAAAAATCAACAAAACTCTACATGGACAACTAAAGTCTGAGCAACACGAATCCAACCAAAAAGTGGGGGTGATCCCATGTGCTGATGAAACAATAAATTAAGCAGGTCCTGCTTTACAAGTAGCACTCGTCGTGTTTCTCATGGCTCATGGACTTTGTAATTTACTTTTCGGTGATTTAGCAATCGAGGAAAAGAGGACAGAATTGTGGATGCAAAAATTGGAACATATCGGCTGTCATCAGTAACACAAATATTCCATATTAACGGTAAAAAAAATCATGATAACTTCCATTTGAGAGAAATAAGAAACTCATCTAAAGATCAAATACTAGTAACTGTTTAATTGATTAACAGTTGTTTGATCTGTAGATGAGAGAGAAATTAGTTAATAAAAGTACATGTTGTTCTTTGTGATCTTAAATCAAATAACTTTCAATGATATATTTATACCACTAGTACTTCAAAAACTGTTTTAAATAACACCTTGGTATTCTCGTTTAAAAAGTATTCAAAGACATATTTTGACATATAGACGTTTAATGTTTTTATGTTGTTGGGTTACTGTCTCTTCGACATGTACCTGAATCCTCCTTTTTTCAAAATTTTATATATCTAATAAATTAAGATCACATTTACATTTTTAACAAGGTTTTCCGAAGAAAAAAAATCAAGTCATTAGTCAAGTTTGATATTTCCGATTGTCACTTTAAATTTATTGTTCAGGAGTTATGGTCCTTGGTAGATATGAAAATTACACTAATTTGCGTTTCCGCCGTGCAATTACTTATAAACTGTCAAGTCAATGCTTTACAAATTTTAATATGTTGTAACTGATGACAAAATGGAAGTCAAGTTGTATATCCTTTTTTTTTTTTTTTATCTTTTACCGTTCAGGTGAAAGTACAGATCTTAAAGTCAACTAAAATAAGTTATAAACTGCTTGTCATTGGTGAGTTTCGTAAGGGAAAATATTCGATAGAATTATAGAAGTCATCTTATGTTTTGGCATGAAGATTTTTGAAAATAAATAGATATTAAATTTAAAACCCTTCTGCCCCTATTGAAAAATAGTTTGTTTTTATTAAAGTCGAAAAACCTGTTTTCCAAAGACAAAGCTCATGCCCTGACCCCTTTCACACACGCACAAAAGATATATGGTCGGTATCTATGTGGAATTTGTCTTAATTTCTTGTTTCAAATTAACCTCGATTACTGATTCGGGAAATGTATCAGCCTCTCTTTTTGGGGAAAAAAGGGGTGGGCAAGATAACTTAGAAACATATTGCTACATGATTCTTTTGGCTTTTTTTTAATCAGTAATGTTTATATTCAGCTTGTTGACCACATAACAAGGCATCATCTTGGTACTGCAGACTAAATAAAACATAAGTGTTTGTCCTTTGAAAAACTTCCGATCAAAACTGTTATTCCGATACCAAAGCGTAGAAATCAAATATCATCAATGTCTATGAGTCCCTATTACTGTGATTATTATTCTTTTTTACAGCAAAGACAGGACATAACGTTTCAGCTTCTGATCATACAGTGTTTCAACTGAATAAAACATAGTCTCTTATACAGCCAACCAGTCTCTTTTTCTCACGAGATAATATGATTCATTTATTAGTTGTAATGGCTTTAGACTAGCTTTCAGTAACTGCGAGTTCTCTTAGATGTGTCCTTTGTGTCTTTTAAATTTATGTAAGTCGTTGTTTATGCTTTGTGTCTATCTAATGATTCAAGTTTTTACCAACCGTGTTTTACATTTTATTCTTATGATATGCTGTAAACATGTTTTACCAAGGCACATTCTTTATGTCTATGTGCCTTCTCAACGATGGGTCAAATAGTCGGCCAGGAGAAAGTCGCAGCCAGATTGAGGCAATTTTCTTAAAAAAAAGAACACTCTTAAATCAAAATTAACGGGTAGATCAGACTCGTTAGCCTTAGAAGGCATCTATCTGTTGGATAGAAAACCATAAGCAAATAACCCTGGTCGACCAGGTTGGAGGTTGAGCTAGGGCGTAGCATCCCCTACTCATAAAACGGCATCTGGTTCCGGAAACAAGCTTGCCCTATGTGCCTCCGGGATTAACAAGGACTAGGAAGGTAGGTAGGTGCCTGCCCAAAGTCAGAATCTTGTAATTTAGTGGTTGTCGTTTGTTGCCGTCTGTTTATCTTTTTTTCCTTTGTTGTTTTGTAATAAATCAGGCTGTTTGTTTTCAATTGTTTAACATTTGTCATGTCGGAATCATAATGTAGCTGATAAAGGGCATGGGTTTTGCCCATTGTTGAAGGCCGTACTGTGACTGATTTTAATACTTACATTCACATCATTTGGATTATGGTAGAAAAATGTCTCATTGGAAATTCTCCTTATATCTATACATGTACTAGACCGTCACATTGAGCCGAATTTCTAGCATACTAATTCATAAGCTATCAGTCTGCAAGAAGACATGTCGCCCTTCTCGAACAAATTATTCTGACTCCGAACGGA